AATGTGCTTAAGTGTATGAGGGAATTATCGAAGGCCCAAGAAAAGAAGCACTCAAAGGACAGAAGAAAAAGTACCAGTTCCTAAAGTGCCAAGAATGGTGCCTGTTTCCAATATTCAGACTGAAAAACCTCATGATTAACAGGACAAATAGGAGACAATTCACCATGGGTCTCTGTGTGAGGAGAGGCACTGACAGTTTTTGTTCCAGAATAAATTCTCAAGGTTATGTGTACAGCATGGAAGATGGAGGCTGTATCTCCCTCCAAGGAAGAGGGCAGATTTATTTCCTGTCCAAGTTAATAAAAAGGCTCTTTAGAGTAAAAGGGTAGACAGATGTACTTCAACCCATTTAAAAGACTAGGGTTTCCAATCTATCAAAGATAGAAAGTCAATGGAATTCTCATGCATTGCTGGTAGGAAATCTAAAACAGTACAGTCACTGTGGAAAACAATTTGGCATTTTTAAATAGAGCTTAACAAACCTTTACCATCAACCCAACAATACTACTCCAAAATGGAATCTTAAAAATTTACTAATAACTATTTTTAAAATAATAAAATAATATAAATAAATAAAATGCAAATTTATTAACTCTTAGGCAAATCTCTAGAAAACCATAATATTTAAATGAAACTTCATCACAACACTTAAAATACAACGTATCAGAATATGAAATGTTTGGGGTGCCTGGGTGGCTCAGTCAGTTAAGCATCTGACTTCAGCTCAGGTCATGATCTCACAGTTCGTGGGCTGGAGCCCTGCATCAGACCCTGTGCTGACGGCTCAGAGCCTAGAGCCTGCTTCAGATTCTGTGTCTCCCTCTCTCTCTGCCCCTCCACTGTTCATGTTCGGGTTCTCTCTCTCTCAAAATAAATAAACATTTAAAAAAAATTTTTTAAGAAGAATATGAAATGTTTCAGTACCCAGAGAAAAATGTGTAATGCCAAATACTTCTATAAAAAAAGTAAAAATATGAATTAAGACAACTCAAAAAGCCAGAAAAAAATTAATGGAAGGATTAAATTAATAGAGACTAAAGCAGAAGTTAGAAAATAAAAATGATAAATTTCAGAAACAACTAATAAATTAGGTAAGCTATTAGCTAATCTACTAAGAGAATAAACATACAACATGAATGATGAAGGTGTAATAAAGAGACTATGCATAAATTTTAAAAACTTAATGAAATGGATAATGTTTTAAGATAACACACTTTACAAGACTGAGTACAAAAGAAAACAGATTTTTTTTTTAAATCTAAAACTTATTTCCAAAGAAGAAAAAGGTAAAGTTGTCAAAAGCAGTATCTCCAGAAAAGACAACATCCTGAAATAGTTGCAAAGAAGAGTTCTACCAAACCTTTAAAATTTTTTTAATGTTTATTTATTTTTGAGAGAGACACAAAGCATGAGTGGGGAGGGCCAGAGAGAGAGGGAGACAGAATCTGAAGCAGGCTCCAGGCTCCATGCACAGAGCCCAGTGCAGGGCTTGAACCCACAAACCATGAGATCGTGACCTGAGCTGAAGTCGGCGCTTAACCAACTGAGCCACCCTGACACCCACCTATTAAAATCTTTTTAAAAAAAGATTGCATCAGAGATTTGGGGAGGGGAAAAAAAGGAAAATTTTCAACTTCCAATATTGGTGTATAATAACTATGTGTATATAATTATGTATAAACAAAAAAAATTATCAGATTAATCTCACTTATCATTATCTCAATTACAATGTTAGCTAATAAAATTTAACAGAACATTTGAAAAATAATACATCATGGTCACTTGGAATACACACTACAAATGCAAGGATGGTTACAGATGAGGAAAAAAAATCAAAGGAAAATATTAGGGGAAAAATCAGCTATTCAATCTCCATGGATGCCTAAAAAAACATTTCATAAAATTCAGTAAGTATGTTTGATAATAACAATAAATAAGAAGAAATGAAAATGTCCTTAACATGCCATTTGCAGCTCACCCCAAAAGCCAGTATTATACTTAGTGAGGAAATCATCCCCACCCTATCAGAAACAGGACAAGGATAAATACTCTATTAAATATGATTTAATAGTATATGTAATATTCCAGCCTGTGGAATTACAGAAGACAAATTAATTAGAGATACAATAATTGGAAAGCTGTAAGTAAAAGTATTACTATCTTTTAGGAGTTTTAAGTATTATCTGGAAAACAAAAAAGATTAAAAGAAAAAAATACAGCAACTTAAGAAATTGGCAAGACTTTTATAAAGAAAATCTTATAGAATGACAGCAGAAACTGAAATAAATGGAAAGACATATTCATCTTTGGGAGCAGAATCATCAATATCTTAAAGACATAAGTATGCCCTAACTTAAAATTTTAAATTTAATTTGATGCCATAAAAATTCCACTTGCTTCTTTTTCTAACCAAGTTAAAAGTGATCCTAAAATTGATACAGAGAGGCACCTGGGTGGCTCAGTCTGTTGAGCTTCTGACTTCAGGTCAGGTCATGATCTCACAGTCTGAGTCTGAGTCCCTACATCAAGCTCTGTGCCTGCTTTGGATTCTGTGTCTCCCTTTTTCTCTGCCATTCACACTCTCCCCCTCTCAAATATAAATAAACATTAAAAAAAAAGAAAGAAAGAAATGCTGTAAAATTCATATGGAAAAATAAACAAACAAACAAAATAGAAAAACTATGTAAAAGAAAAATAATAAGGATGGGGGAGTGGGGAGAGGTGAGCATATCAAATATTAAAACAGGGGTGCCTGGATGGCTCAATAGGTTGCGTGTTCAACTTTGGCTCAGGTCATGATCTTGCGGTCCGTGAGCTTGAGCCCTGCATCCAGCTCTGGGCTGACAGTCCAGAGCCTGGAGCCTGCTTCAGATTCTGTGTCTCCCTCTCCCTCCGGCCCTCCCTCCCCTCACTCTCTGTCTCTCTCTCTCTCTCTCATTCTCAAAAAATAAAGATAAAAATTATGTTTAAATATTAAAAGACATTCATATTACAAAACCTGAAAAGAGATTGGAAAATAGACTAAGTAAGATATAAAGTGCAGATATAAACTCAAATACATATGAGAAGGGGCGCCTGGGTGGCTTAGTCGGTTAAGCGTCCGACTTTCGCTTAGGTCATGATCTCGCGGTTCGTGGGTTCGAGCCCCGTGTCGGGCTCTGTGCTGACTGCCAGCTCAGAGCCTGGAGCCTGTTTCAGTCTGTGACTCCCTCTCTCTCTGACCCTCCCCTGCTCACACTGTCTCTCTCCTAGAAATAATAAATTAAAAAAAAATACATATGAGAAGTTAGTATATGTAGCATCTCAAAACAGCAGAGAAAAAACTCAACAGATAATGGGCCATCCTCAGAAAAAACAAAGTTGGATCCATAACTCATGCTTTATACCACAATGAAATCTAAATGAATCAAAGTTACAAATGTGAAATGAAATCATAAGTATTCTAGAAGAAAACATGGGAAAATTCTTTTAAAGGTTTGAAGAAGAAATACCTTTTCAACTATGATTCAAAAATCCAGAAGTCATAAAAGAAAAAAAATAAATTCAACTAAATAAAAATACAATACTGTGTATGTGGTAAAAAAAAAAAAAAAAGATAATTAAATTAAAATGACAAACTGGTAAAAATATCTTTGCAATTTATATCATAGACAAAGAATTAATTTCCCTAACATATAAAGAGAGCCTATAAATTAAGGACACAATTTTTTTAATATACAAAAGAAACAGTTCACATTAAAAAAATACAAATGGTTTTTAAACATATGTGAGATGCTTAACTACACTCCTAATAGGAGAATGCAAATTAAAAGTATACTGAAGTATTATTTTTAATCTATCAGATTAGCAAATTTCAAAAACAATACATCACATACTATAATGGTAAGGATGTGGAAAAATAGGCAGAATTACACACTTCTGGTTTGCTAATAAGATGATAAAATCTCCAAAGCAGCAACTGGACAATATCTACCAAAAAGTTCAAACCTCTGTCCCAGAAAATTAATTTCTTGAAATGTATCCTGCAGATATACATATGTGTGTGGAAAATGGCATGTGTATAATATACCTAAATGTTATCAGTTAAAGACTAATTCAATACTACTCAAACTTAAGAAAGGAATGAAATTCTGACACAGGTATGGATCTTGAGGACATTATGTTAAGTGAAATAAATCAGATACAAAAAGATAAATATATGGTTCCACTTATATACCTATAATAGGCAAATTCAAAATAAAGAAGTTAGAATAGAGGTTGCCAGGGGCTATGGAAAAGGAAACTGGGGAGTTATTTAACCAGTGTAGATTCTATTTGGGATGATGAAAAAGTTCTGGAGATGGATGGTGATGATTAGGGCACAATATTGTGAGTGTACTTAATACCACTGAATTATACATCTAAAATATAGTTAAGTTGGCAAATTTTGTTATGTATATTCTCCTACAAAAAAGAGATTAAAAAATATTTTATGTCCTATCATATTAATATAACATGTCCAAGACTGCACTTATTATCATCCCTCCTGAGCCAAATTCCAACCCCAATTTTTCTATTTCAATCAAAGGGTTCCTTAGGGAGTTAAAGCTTAAAATACTTGCATACCCTCTGCTTCCTCTCATTTCTTTATTAGATCCCTTTATTGCTATGTTCTAAAAATACATCTTTCACATTACTCATGCTTTCTTCTGCAACTATCTTAATAAATTGTTTTACCTATGGACAACAGGCTTTAAAACTTATCAAATTTCTAAACTTAACCAATATAGTATAAGTTTACTTATGTTAAACAGTAAAACTAATAGAAGTATATAAAGTTTCAATAAAAACTGATTTGAACTGTTCATTACTGTTAAAGTAACAATAAATCACTCCACTATTAAATTCTAACTTTGATCAAAATAATTGCTTACTCTTTAAGAATATCTTTATTTATTTATTACATTTATATAACTTCACATTAATCTTCTAATATCATCAATGAACACTTTATACCTTACCTTTGTATGGTATTCCATAGCATCCAATTCACCTTGATTGAAAACAACACATCTTTTATGCTTCTATGGAGTAAATTACAGGGAGAAAATTATGTTGCAATCTATCACAACATTGATAGTATGAAATATATTAGTATTTATTTTTTATCACATTTTCCATAGTATGTATCTCAGTCTTTAAGAGGTGATAATGGACTACTAAGGTCAAAATCAGAGCAAAGAGTATGGACTAAGGAAGTAAGCTTTCTCAAATAAAAAATTGTATTTTTATTTATTATTATTATTATTATAAGCTTAATAACTGATATAAGGTCACCTCAGCCTTATCTGCTATTAATAAGAACTAGTACCAATGATAAAAAGAAGCACAGACATCCATGGAACGCAAGAAAGCTGACACTGTATAAAGTTACAAGTGTTATCTATCAGTTAATGTGGTTTAGTTACACCCATTTCTTCATTTCTGAAGAGACGATCTATCCATGTACTATCTCTTAAAAATCCAATGCATTTTCAATAGCTCTTTATAATTGATCTGAGGGCTAGGTACAAATCAAACATACTAACAGCTCTATATGTAACAACTCCATAGAAAAGAACATGTAATACAGCACAAAATAGAGCAGCAGTGCTAACATGGTTGCAAATTCCTAGCAGGCTAATAATAAATGTTTGCTGACTAAATAAATAAATAAATTAGCTTAAGAATAAGCTAATTGTACAATCTGCTCTGGCATATCAGAAATGAGGTAAGTTTTGTCAAGACAATTCATTACATAAGTGTATCTATATTTTTCTATATTGAAATGAGAAATTCACCCAACATAACAGTGTACACATTAAAAGATGTCCAAACTTGGTAAACTGAAAATGCTGGTTATAATTTTTCTGAATTTGTAACAGTAATGATAAATAATCTATATAGTACTCTACTGAAATCTCAGACACTATCTATATGTTTTCCATTCTATGCTTGATGCACAGCAAATGGTCAATATTTGTTGAAAGAAACAAAAAGATTGAAAAAAATTACAAGAATATTAAAAGTTTTACTTCGGGAAACTAGAACAATGTAATAAATTATCTCTATTAGTTTCCTTATTCTAATTCTCAACATGCTTTCTTATTTAACACCTTTTTTTATGGGTCTCAATTATAAGATCCATGAGGGCAGGAATTGTGTTTATCTTGTTTCATCCCTGTATGTACAACAGCACACAAAAAAATCCCAACCAAAAGAAAAAAAAAACAGAAAAGATCTCAAATATTTGTAAGTAATAAATAGTTTTCCTATCTTAAGATAATTTACTGATATGGACTTTATATAATCACCTCTGAACTTTTCAGAACATAAAAAGTATTAAAGTATAATTAATTAGATCCTGTATGGCATTCTTGAAACTTCACCAAAAGTCCACACCAGTGTATATACCAATACATATACTTTAAGAACATACACAATTTTCCACGGCAACTTTCTACTTTTATTACTATAAATCTTACAAAATATCACTCTTCTTCCAAACTTTATTATATGAGCTTATCCCCAATGGACAGGTCTCTAAAAATCTCCCAAAGTCCATATACTCCTTCAGAATTTTGCAGAGAAAGTAGCATGTTGTTGAAAAAAACAGGTGTAAAAACATGCAATTAATACAAATGACTAAACAGAAAGGCTTTTGTTGTTGTTTAGTTTGGTTGGTTTAATTTATAGAGCATTCACTTCTGAGCAAACATTGCTTACTTTTGAAATATGCAAATTCGGTCTTCTAACAATTGCAGAACATTAGGAACGAGTTCAAAATTACACTGGATATACTAAAACCTTCCTATGCTTTATTGATTGTTTAGACTTAGTAAATTACAAGATATTTGAGATATTGGAATAAACTTTTTCGTGTTCTGTAGAAAAATAAAAATGTATTAAAACTTTCTACCTTGCCAATAATAGAATTGAAGTTTTCTTCTTTAACACCACTCATTGGATCCTCCTTTTCATTCCTTTGTTGGCATTCTTTGTGAACAGCTGGAGTTATATAAGGTTTGGTGACATTAAACAGCTCAGATCGAAAAACATATTTCTGTATGAAGATTTCACTATTTCCTCTGTCATCATCATCTGGCTTAGAGGTAGAGTCAAAAGCAATAAATGTAGAAGAGGTTCGAAAAGAGATCAAGCAAGGCTCACGATGCTGGTGAAGTTGATAGTTTATGTTGTTAATGAAAGAAAGATGATCTAGTAACCATCCTGGTGACAGATGATGCACCACAGACATATTCTTCTTTTAAAAAAGAAAGAAAAAAAAACAACTCTGGAAATTGGGGTCTAGACATAAAACCCAACTTTCGAGATTAAGTTCTTAAATGTCCTACATTTCAATAAAAATATACTTCATATACCCAGATTTCATGTGTAAGAATAGAAAATTGACATATACACAAAAAAGGATTTGACATTCATGATACGACTTTACGGAAAAACGTAATGTTTTAATATCAACTTTAATTTCAGGGTTAATTCAAAATTTTCAGCCAATTTAGCAAAAGAGAGTTAAAACTTGATCTTATTTCTGGAATCCCAATTGAATTCTCTTATCTTCCTGGGCCCTCCACACAACCTTCTGTTTGGTCCTTGAATCTAGCCACTAGGTTCACATCCTCCAAGTCAGGAAGTCATTCAAGATAGTGTCCTGTCAAAGTAAAGAATACAATACCTATGTGAAACCACACTTTCTAATGAAATAAACCTGGAGAGGTCACAGAATTTCAAGAGGAGTTATTAGCTGATCAGCCCTTGTTTTTTCAAAGCACATTTGCCATAAGTCAGCCCATTCTCCAGTAATACTACCCTGCTTAGCCACTGCTACCAACAGAGTGCAAAAAGGGTAAAATGAAAGACTGGTCTAGGCAGAGCACAATTTTAACAGATATCAAAAGTACCAAACCCTAGCAAATTTGCAAGACTCTGGTTAAGGTAACTGGTTCTGAGCAGTCCTCTTCCAGCAACCAGGTTTTTCAAAACTCCCTTATCTTTCTATAAAAGATGGTAAAGTTCTCGACATTCCTTATTAAATCCAGTGTAAGGGAGAATTTAAGAAAGGTACAGAATAAGATATACATAAGTGGCTAAGAGCACAGTTAGTAATCTAGCACTTAGATCCAACCTTCTAACTCCATGTAGTATTAGCAGTATGGCCATGGGCAAGTTATTTGATATCACTGAGCCCCAATTTCATCATTTTTCATGACATCTCAGATGGCAGTTTAGAGAATTAAATGACATAATCTACATGAAGTGCTGTGCAGTGCCTGACACACATGGCAACTGTTCAAACAAATGCTACTAGTGATGGTAATGCTTGTATTCGCCCTACCTTCAGAGTCACCACTAACGTAGTATCTAGTGAGAGCCTAAAATTTAGTCGAGAAGACTGAAACTCATAAAAGGCGACGTGCCCCAAATTATAATTCGAGTTGACCGCACAATTGCTCCAAGAATCAGGTATCTAGACTTTGGCTCAAAGGTTTCCTCCCACCCCCACCATTCCCCAGGTACTGGGCAATACTCGTCACTGAGTCAAACTCAGGGAAGCAGGGAAGTACTATTTTAGCAAAGTAAACTACTGTGTTTAAACGCCCTCTCACCTGCCTCTCTGCTTCACACCCAACCTCACCCTACGCCGACCCCACCCCCAGCCCGGTGGGTTCTTCCTAGTTTCACTCGCTGGCCACGGCTAGAAGACCATGAAACACTAGCGAGTGGACTGCGAACCCGAACCTTAGAGGTGACCACCAGGATTCGGAAGCCGATTACACCCCACCTCAGCATTACTATGTCCTATGTCACCGCTTCCTGTCAGAAAATTGCACGACGCCTCCCAGACTTGCATTACGAAAACAGCACCCCCTCTAAAGAGTGATCATGAAAAATGCCACTTGCACAGCAAAAAAATTTCTCCTTTTCTACGAGCCAATGGGCGCGGCCATCTTGCTGTACGGAAAAAGCGTCTCAGGGTGAATTGGAGCGTTCTGCCCGCTACTTAGCGAAGCAGAGCGCCCACAACTTCAGCGCTAACTTTAGAAATTGGACCAGACTTTGGAGCAGACGTTTGCACTGACCAGAAACACCAGTGGGATGAATGAGGCGGTGGGACGCGACCAACACGCTGACTTCCACCGACTGGGAGCGGCGCCTTAGAGTTGCGCAGCCGCGCGACGTACGTGTTGACGTAAGCGCCGGCGGAGATTTTAAAATTCGAACCGCGCTGGCGGGTGGAAGGAAGAGTTGCTGTTTTGGCGGCTGGTGTCCTGTCCTTCAGATAGTTGTACAGGTTACAGAAATTCTGTCCCTGGGTCGTGTCACGAAACTGGAAGAAAGGTAAGTAATGACTTTGGGTTAATTTCGTGCCAGCAGAGCTGTTCTGAAGAGAGAAAGTGATGGCGCCAACCACTTAGATTGAGAGGCCCCGAGGGGCAACGTCTTAGTGTCTACTGTTGTGAGAGGCCTCGGGGCCGAATCTGTGCGAGGCGCCAGTTTCTCGGAATCCAATAAATTTCTACTGTCAGTGATTTACCAAGGGAGAAGAGGAGGCCCTAGGAGCACACTGGTGGGGAGAAGAGAAGCTGGAGGAAAGGGAAATAGTTGATAGGAGCATGGAGTGGAAGAACAAGATTAACCGTTTGAGATGTTGCGTTTGAGATACTCCTAGTGGGCGTGTAAGGAACTCTTAATCTTGAATTATTTTAAGTAGAGATTTGGAGTGTACATATAGGTGAGTGGGAAAGTTGAGTGGATAGCAGAAATGTATAAAGGAGGAGAAATGGGTGGCCTAACGAAGATGGTAAGTGTAATCAGTTTAAAATATTTTTTTAAATGTTTGTTTATTTTTGAGAGAGCACGAGCAGGGGAGGAGCAGAGAGAGAGAGAGAGGGAGACACAAAATCTGGAGCAAACTCCAGGCTCGGAGCTATCAGCACAGAGCCCCATGCCGGGCTCAAACTCACTAACTGTGAGATCATGACCTACCTACCTGAGCTGAAGTCGGACATTTAACGGACTGAGCCACCCCGGGCCCCGGGGAAAATGTTTAAAAGTCAAAGGACAGCCTAGAAAAAAGAAAAGATAACCACAAATGTCCACTTCCCTGGAACCCAGAACAGGACCTGGGTTCCTGAGAAATCTTAAGTGTATAGTGTCTAATACCACACAGAGATGAGAAAGGATCAAAAGTTTTATCAATCATGAGTGTCCTAGGGGGCAAGAGTTTCCGTAGATATGAAGGAAACGAAGTGTTAATATTCTCAAAAATGAGAATCATTAGACCAATTTGTGGACCAGATAATTAATCTTTGTTAGAAGAGAAATTGAAGTAAGAGGGACAGTAATTGAATATAAATGGGAAACAGTGGGTTAAGGACAGAACAAGAGAGATGGAAGTTAGGAAAACTAAAGTTGGGCTTTAGTCTCTAAGCCCAAAGAAAAGGAAACATCTTGAGGTAGTTCTTGTCAGGTTGCCTCTGACTTTTTCCCAGTGAAACAGGTATAGCCAACAGCAGTAATGTGGTCCGGGTTAGGATTCAGGGCTTTAACTACCATAGCTACCCTTGCAAAGGCAGGAATTATACCTTATTTATTAGTGTATCCTTTCAGTTGCCTTGGACACTCCCAATATATGTGGTAGGCAGTAAGTAAATATTCGTGTGTGTTGTATATTTTTAAATGAAGTTATGTAGATTTCCCTGCAAATTAAGACTTCTCCTTACACGAACATGAGGGCCCAGGCAAAGATTATCTTGAAGAAACAATGGAACCTGGCTGCTTTTTGTTTGAGGCTGAAGATAACAGTTGGTGCTTAATGTACCATCTCTCTGAAAAGATTTTTTAATACTGAATTCATGAATGCAGGTAGCAAACATGAAGCGCAGTTCAGTTTCCACCGGTGGTGCTGGCCGCCTCTCTATGCAGGAGTTAAGGTCTCAGGATTTCAATAAACAAAGCCTCCATACCCCTCAAACGTAAGTACCTCATGCCTTACCAACTTGGACAAAGAAATCTGTAAAGATGGCTAATACAAAAATGTATTAAGAGAGACATTCTGATGAATCTTGTTTGTTCATGGTGGTACCTAATTTTGGGTTAATGAAGGGTAAAAATTGGCATGTTATTACGTGTGTTTTATCTAATTTGTTCCTTAAATGTCCAAAGCTATACCCTTTGTCAGGCAAACTCTAAAAAAGACTGTTAATTCCCTTTGTGCACTCTTTCTTATTTTCCTCCTTTATTCTAGGCCTGCTTAGGTGAGTGGACTCAACTTTCAATTCACTAAAGTATATCCAACTGGCAAAATTCTTTTTTTTTTTTTTTTAGTTGTTTATTTATTTATTTATTTTTTACAGATAGTTTATTGTCAAATAAATTGGTTTCCATATAACACCCAGTGCTCATCCCCACAAATGCCCTTCTCCATGCCCATCTCCCTCCTCCCCCCCACACCCATGAGTCCTCAGTTTGTTTCTCAGCATTCAAGAGTCTCTCATGGTTTGCCTCTCTCCCTTTCCCCCACCATTTCCCCCCATTTTCTCCCCCATGGTCCTCAGTTAAGTTCCTCCTAATCCTCCTATACATGCAAACATATGATATTTGTCCTCTGCCTGACTTATTTCGCTAAGCATAACACCCTCAAGGCCCATCCATGTTGCTACACATGGCCCAACTGGCAAAATTCTTAATCAGTTATTATTTATTTGTTCAATGATAAGCTGCAGTTTAGAATAACCTACAGAACCACTTCTCCAAACTGTTTCTCAGTATTCGCTGGAAAAAAAGGGTGCATAATTATACTATCATAAACCAGTTTTTCTCCGAGTTTTTTCTAATTAAGAGAAGACTATTTGAAAGCCACTATAGAGCTATATCAATCCTTCTCTAATACCAAGGTACGTGTTACTTGCTAACTGTGCTTAGTTTACTTAGATTTACATAGTATAAGCACCTGCTACTGGTAGAAATTTGAAATATTTGTATCATTTCCTTCTGAATCAAAAATTTGTTGTACTATTACATATTACATACACTGAAAGATTAAATTTATGCTTCAAATTGTATTGGAAGTCAAAAGGCTGCCATAGTCAATGTTTTTAAGTCTGTCATTTAAATAATATATGTTTCTAAGTGTAGCTGCAACCTTATAGAGTAGTCCTTGAAAGAAAATTGTTAAATGTAGCTATCATCCTCTAACTGAAGATACTTATTTTCAAGTTTTTTTCCTTTGTTGCTTGTAAATGTACATACTTTAAGGTA